TTCCTGATCGATGCTCTCCATTTTTCTGTTTTAGCCCAGAGTGCATACTCTCGCATAAGATTCGTTTTTGCAAGGGAAAAAAATGAAACCAAGAGAAGAAAAACAGGAAATGGGACAGCCAAATGTAGGACCTGATAAACTACTTTGGCGGAACAAAGAACACTAAGGTTTTGCTTTTTTCAAATAAACAAAAATTTAATAAAAGAAAATCACTAGACTAAAACTTGTTGGTAAGAACTAGACACCAGATGTCGACTACGCATTATAAAGTTTTGCGGAGTTAACAAAATTATAATGCATCACAAAATGTATGTTGGTCCTTATTTCATCAATTCCTTTTTATTTATAACACTTCATAATATATCAATAGATACAGTGTGTTCTGTAAAAATTACAAAGGTGTGGTAACACCTCGATATAGCACTTGTCAGTTAAACTTTCATGAGAACAGGACAGCCAGCCATGTGCGTGCTAATTACAAAGTATGAGCACTGGTAGAGTTCTAGTATATAGTAACGGTCCAAGGCAATAATGGGCACAACATCACTACTGCAGTCCTGGGTCATAACTAGAGAACAATATTGTTACTACAAACAGAGAAATATGATTTGGAACTTGGCCTGGGAGACTGGATGAATAGAAAAGGCTGCAAGGCCAAGTGAGTGCTTTTACTTTGGAAATGCTGGCAACAGTTATTCAGAAAAAGCCATACCATCTATTGATTTCATTTTTTTTATATCCTTCCAGGCAATAAAGCTCTTTCACCCATGTACTGCAACAGAAATACAAAACAAAAAAAAGGGGGAACACAGTTCGAACAACTACTATGAGATTAGGAGACCAAAGCAGCAAAAGCAAACTGGTTAGTTCAGGTTACGCAAAATGGAAGGAAAGTAAGTAGTACTGCAGCCGTTGAATATGAACTAGTTAAGAACATTTCTTGCTACCTGCTTGTCGTCAGCTTTATTTTGAAAAGAGTTTTCACTGGAAATGAAATAATTCTGATAATCTGAAAGACAGATCATTTTTTTGTTTATGAATATTTAGGGTGTGCTGCTGGGACGCTTTCTGAATTTGCGTTGCTTTACCTTTTAAGTGACTACAAAACTATTTCAAAGCTTGATAGACTGCTCTTAAGGCCAGGTTTTTTCACCAAGTACTGTCAGATGCTGTAAATGAGCTTCCCAACCCAAATTCAAAGCAGCTGTTACCACAATCTCCCTCCGTAATGGCTGAACAAATAGTACATCCCTTAAAACATTTCAGATTGTAAGAACATAAGAGTTCAGCCGTTTTGCTACGACTGTAATGCAGCCTGTCTCCATGAAACAGCTGACACTTCGCCAATACTCAAGAAGTTCAGTGCTCAACCTTAAAGAATCTTCACTGAAATGGAGAATGCCAAAGGACGACAACCGAATTACTATGGCAAAATTTTTTTACTCTTGAAATCTCTCTTGAGATGTTTACTGTAAAGACAAGATCTACTTTGAAGAACCTAAAGTTGCCCTGATTTAAAAACCAAACACAAGCCTTTTCCCCTCATATCTACAAACATATAAAACCCAAGCGCAGAAAAGAAAATTATCTTCAGAGTTTATATGAGCCACAAACAAATGAAACCATTTGCTCCTTAATTAGTGCAAAAGTTGCATTTTGATTCTCCACTTTAGAGGAACAGTCAAGTCCCAAATATATGACTACTTACATCAGATAACCTGCCGTGCTGACAAACTGAAATGCCTTCTTTTATACAAAGTAAAACTATGAAGTCAACTAGCACATGATAATTTATATTCCATCTTCTCACAATCTGGCTTTAGGATGATCTTCATCATAACTTTAAAGTAGCTATTTTCAATAAATACATTCCAAACATACATGAATTTAAACCGAAAACTAGATCTGGCCCGTGATGTGTCTTGGAGTACCTGTAAGGATCTATTCCAAATACAGAGGTCAGAGGACTATTTTTTTCCCTCTACAGATCCCCTGCTGTTAGAATTTCTAGAAAGACTCTGTAAAATAATTACTTTCAGTGCTGATCTAAACACTAGATCTAGAAATTCATTCACCTGAAGAGTCATCCACAACAGATTCTTCTCAATATTTCACATCCACATGTACACCTGACAGTCATTTTTTGGTGTCCATTTAGACTTCCTCATACTTCAGAGAAAAAAAAAAAATGTGAACAAGTTGAAAAACCAGCACCATCACTGTGTTAGTTCCAGCAGAATATGCCAGGAGGAAAAATAAAATACTTTTTTTTTTCTTGTCCAAACTGGATCCAACTTAAAACAAGAAAAAACACAGGAGGCATCACCTATCTCTGTTTACTGTCTCTCCGATCAAGACAGCTGACAGAGCAAATCGTTTTAGTGCTTTAGTCTACTCCAGCATCAAGTCAATTGGGTGAGCAGTGACATTCCAGCCAAGGCAGCGAACCGTTGTGCTGCAGCAGACCGGCAACAGTCGCAGAATCTGCTAAGACACTCGGCTGCAGAGGCAAGCTATAACAAGACTTATAATTCTAACCATACCCACAAGAGGACATCTGACATCACTACAAGACAAAAATCCTAAATTATAACATGTACCCTCAAAAAATATCAGCAAAACCAACTTACTACCTTCTGTTGACCACAGACAACTACAAAAGGCCTTACAGTTACTGGAAAACAAAAAAATTCTATCTTGGTGCTTTCCTCAGAAACGAGCATCAAGACAGAACAAATGAACGATCGAATCTCCCTGCTGCTGCAGAAAACAAAGAAAAAAATGCCAGAAGCCAGTAGACTTACACAGGCAAAAGGTTCACTCACTTTGCGTTGTACCATCCTCCTTCCTATACATCTATAAAGTAAGGACAGGTAAGCTTCCTTGGCCAAGGACGTCTTTTCCTTCCCATACTTTTCATCCAAAAAGAAAATAAATACATAAATAAATGATACAGAGGAAGAAAGCTGAGAGCTTGGGAGGCTTGAGGAAGCCTCATACAGAAGTACAACTATAAAACATCTTTCTTGGCCTCATTTTCCTGGAGCACACACAAGGCAAAGAGAAACTACACTAACCCTCTTTGTTCCTACACGTACGCATTTAGGAAGGAAAACTGCAGGTTCCCAATTCACTCTCACTGGGCTCCATAACAGGATATTCCATTGACACATAATTGTGCAGTAATTGCAAATAGCAATTGCACCAAAGAGCTCTGTCTTCTCTGTGTTTTCAAACATGTTGCTTTGTAAAGCCTTTAACAAACAATAATGCGATACTGATACAGTCTCAATCTTCAGAATGACAAATAACTGTAAAGGGAAAAAGCTGTACAGATATACTTTGATCACTATTTGATTAAACTGAAAAACATGTCGTCCCCCCTCAGAAAAGTTTATGAAGCACAGATTATATCAACATTATCCTAGGTACATTTCATTTTGTAGTCTAATAATGCTCCAAGTAAGAAATCCCTGTACAAAGCCTATCAGTCAGTACCTGAGCTCAGAGGAAAATGGACTGATGTCATAAAATATTTCTATTATCAATTTGTACTCTTTGTCCTAACTACCTTGGAAATGACCCAAACAGGGCATTTTGTTTTGAAAATTTAGCATAAGCAATTTTGTAAGTTATCAAAATATAAAGGTAAATTGCTTGCTTCCAAAAAAATTCTGGGCACTTCTGTGTTCTTCCTACAGCTATCTGATATTGATCCTTGTTATAAAAGGACATAAAGCCGGGCAGTATGCTAATAGAGCACTGCTATATACTCCAGCATGATTTAAGACGTGCTTCTACACGAAGTCCAGAAAATCTCTCACATTAGGTGCTCAGTATGAATTCTTTCCCTACTCTTCTATTTCAATTAAAAAAAAAACAATTTTGGCTGGAACATCCCAGCTCCTCCTCAAGTCTTCTAGAAGTATCAAAATATACTTGAACTTCAGGTAAATGGGTAAAAGGCATCTTTTTTATGATGGTTCTGTTTATATTAAATGCTACTGATTGCTCAAAACATCCACAACAAGAAGAGACGAATATCCCACGTTTTAGTAAAATGAGGAAGTATCCCTTAAAACGAGTGGAAGACGCCACTCAAAGTATTGCAAATAAGAAAAAAAACATGCAAATAGCTAATCTTGAATATTTACATAATCAATGCTATAACCATGGGCAAGTAGGTAATGATATCTGAGAGACTAAATAACTAATATCATCAAGCCATAAAACCAGGGAGGTAATTGGGAGATACCTCCATGAACTTGGGTGGAGGATGCCACTCTAGAAATTCCCATTTAGCGTTTCAGTGGGAATCCACCAAAGAGAAATTCATGAAGTGACACACCAGTGTCTTCCTTTTTGAAACCAATCACATAAACAGGGAAAAGATAAACATCACAGTAAAGGTTGCATGAGATCAAGGTGTATAAAGCAGAGGTAATTACATAAATTGCCTTTTCTGAAATCTGTACAAACAAGATCAAGTCGTTTCAAGCAGAAATTAGGTTGACAGCAGGTTTTGAAAGGCAGTCCGTCATTCACCCATAGCAAGTGCTTCTGCTGAAACTGTACTTTGAGCCACAAATGAAGCCCAATAGGAACTTCTGACAACGTAGGGCGGGGGGGGTGGTGAACAGTGAAAACCATCTTGTCGTAGGAAATAGTCTTTGTGCTTTCCAACACTCCTCATTTTTTCCTTAAATTGCGGTTATTATGTATTGGAAAAATATTTATATTAATCAATTGAAGAAAGCTATTTAACATATTTGCAAATCAAGGGGAAAAAAAGAATTGTAAATCAAACCATCATTTAGTTTGAAATGTTGTCACGTTCCAGAATTTTAAAATACTAAGAATCACACTATTCAAAGATTTTAAATAATTTCCACTTAGTTTATATATCACGTACTATAAAGCAAACTGATTACAAAAAAGTAAAACGACACTAAATTGTTCCCTGATTTTATTACAGTTATATTGTTTGTCATTTCACTTACCCATGCTTCGTGCCATATATCTCCTTTTCTTTTCCTTTGCCCTTCTCTTTTATTTTTTCTTTCTCTCTGCCTTTACGCCGCTCTCTTTCACGAGACCCGCTATGAGTTCTCCTATGAGTGGATCTTTCACTACTTCGACTATAAGAACGTTGACGAGGTCTTGATCGTGATCTACACAAAATCCATAGTATTAAAATTTAGCAGTCATACATTTTTCACTGTATGTTAGATATGTTATATAGTCCAACTATTTTAAACACACTTTCAAAGATTTTAATACTTTTAAACAAAAACCTGAGAGTTTATCAAAAGAAAAGTGAAAAAAGAAAGCATTGCTTCTACTCTGAAGGAAGAATGCAAAATAAATTAAACCACACTACGTAATATTCACCCATTAACAAAGTAACCTGGTACTACCAAAGTAATCTTTGGAGCTATTGGAGAAGGAAAGGAAGGAAATTTTTTCTTGAACATTAAACTTTAAATTCTTAAGTTCTGATCAATTTAGCTCAGCAAATAATCAAAGAATTTACAGTTGCTACTAAGTGTTGTATTTACATATTAAATACAGTAGTAGTAATAACAATCCTATGATTCTGTGTTCCAACAAAACCCAGAAAAAACCAGAAGTGACATGTCCAACCCCCCATCTTTAGCCTGCAGAGCTGACACTTGCACGCAGCTTCTTAATATCAAATTCAGATTTGAAACACACTTTGCAGAAGACCTATAAATAGGCCAACCCTACAGGCCCAATAATGCAAGAAACTGCGTACAGGTGCAAGGGTTTGTGCACATATTTGGTTCTTGGCTACAAACTCCTACGTGGCTATAGGATACTCTGTTCTCAATCATGTTATCCATTCCTCTGTAATAAATGTATGTTGTTACTGATATACTTGAATGAAAAAAGATCAAGAAGTACTACAATATGACTGTTTCTATATGTACCCAAAAAACCGCTTTTCATTATTCCCAAATTTCTTTTAGATGATCTTCTAAATTTTAATTTATAATTTATCATGGATCAATACATCTTTTCTATGGTACAATGAGCTATAGACAATGAATATTTAGGAAAACAGCAGTTCAAGTTTGCATTAGTTTCTATTACATCTTGATAAAAGTTCTGATGGCACCTCATTGAAAAGTTTCATTAAGTACTGAGAGAGTTGGGGGGGAAGGGCATTTTTTAAAACAGTATAAAAAATTAATTTAGCACCTCTTGGAATGCAAAACTCCAAAGGCCTTTAAAAGCAAAATCATATACAAAAGATCACTCAATTTAAAAGGCAACAACTGTTTAATAAAACTCAACAATAGAATAAGCAAAAGAAAATACTACATCCAGATGAAGCTATAAATTACATTTAGGAAGAATGTTGTTATTGAGTCTGGAATTTGTCCAGCATACTGGGGTTAACATACCTGTTCTTGCCATCGAGGCTTTCAGACTAGCACCAGAGGTCAGAACCTCAGTTTTACATTTCATTCAGCAGCTGGCATCTCTTGCAACACAGTACCTCCTATTGTCGGTCACACTATTAGCGCTAATACAATAGATCGAATTACCACTTAAGTGGCATATTATGAACTATAGAGCATTTTCTGTCTCAAAATGGATTTTTATTATGTCATCACACATTAAGAAGCATCCATCCATTCTTTAGTCCTCAGGTAGAGGAAGTTTTGACCTAAAAGAGTATTCTGGATATTAGATCTATTTTTTGGTTGGCACACAGACACTGGTTTTACGAGCATCATGATGAGGCAGGCACAGATTTACAGACCACTGCCCTACGGACATTTACTATTCAAAGGTAACCTTGATTTCTGAGAACTCTACAGGTAAGATGCAAAGTCAGAAACAGTAAAAAAACCAAACGAAACAAACAAACAAAAAGCCCTGTAGCAACACAAATCACCTTCATTTGATGCAAGGCTTCTCCTTACTTTAGGGCATAGTCCTTCAAACAGAAATAACTGAGGAATCTAAAATATTTATTGCTAGAGAGCTTATTTTCTCAACTCAAATTTGAACTTGATTTCACATCTACCTTTCACAGGTGCAAAAACAGCAAATTCAGTTCAGATTAGCTGGATGCTCAAATCTTAGATTTCTGTTTGTTCACGTGTCTAAGTAGAACAAATGGCAGGTACAATTTATATACAGAAAAACAGCTTTTAAAAACTAAAAGTACACTTGTTGCATCAAATTTGTAATAATGTACTTATAACAGCATTGACAAACTGATAAACATCTTGTTTACAGAAGCTGTCACTGTTCTTCCATTTGCAATCTTTTGCACCCATAAAATTCATTAGCCTAGAGTGATCCCTAATCATTGTTTATCCTTTGGGTTTCACAATTACAGAAAATAGCCGATATAGCTTGTGTTCCCTTTCCCAGTCACGCAGGTGAGGCAGGCAGATGACTATCAACGGGATATTACAGTGAAGATCTTAACAAAAATGTTAAGTTCTACTCCACACAAGCCATCTCTGCAGGACACATTAGTTCAGTCAATCCTTCAGTTATCAGAGCAGTTGATCTGGGCTGTAGATCAGCCCAGAGCACAGATGCAGACAATCCAGAATTGGCTTCATGCAGAGACAAATTCAGTTTGGTCAGACTTGTTAGCTCAGATAACAAGTTAGCACATGTGGAAGGGTCTTCAGGGCAGTTCAGGTGTCAAGTCCAGCTGCCTTCGTGGGCTGCAGACCCAAACTGACTGCGATGCCCTATTTTAGGGGATCTATAGAGGGAACAGTGCAGAAAAAAAGTTGCAAAGTGGATCTAGTGTATTCTGCTGCACCTGAATCAACCTGCAGAGTCTCTCCTATACATTGTCTCCGGTAGCTAAGATGTACCCAGGGTTTATTTGCTCGGTACAGGACAGAGCAGGCAAGACAGGAGTACTGAGGGATAGAAACAAGCACATCCTAACACAGCCTCTTGATGTAGCACCAGGTAAACACCAGCCACACTGACCTGTGATGGATCCGCACAGAGACATAGCCTGACCTCCTCCAAAGATGAATTTTCCTGGGGTTTCCATCATTGTACAAAGTTCTTTGCAAATATTTAATTTTTCATTGTTTTCCCTTAACGCTGCAGAGCTACAGCCCTCCCAAATAAAACGAACTCTGCCTGCTAAGTTCATTTTATTTATTTATACTGATTGCAAACAGTATTTATAAAGCACAGATAAAACAACACAACTCCAGAAATACAGAAAGATACCCAGTCATGAATAGGGGTGAATTAAATAAGGAAAACTGAGGCAAAGAAAGAAGGAACAGTCTAACATTAATGCTCCTTTCAGTTCCTGAATGCTAGTGAAACTTAGATTCTGTTAATCATTTTTAAACTGGGGTAACTACTGTGTTTCCAATGTTGTACAGCAATGAATATTTTTGGAAAAGCTTATCTTGTATTAATCTTTCTCCTTTACAATCTATCTAAAGTCATAGTAATGGAGGACTATTAGAAAAACCACTAGGCAACCACAACACACAGTTTTATTAATAAATTTAAGCTGAATCTCAACTCTTTTTAAGTCTTCTGCTAGCCTGAAAAAAATCTTAGGGACTTCTCACACAAGTAGAGGCATGAAAATTTTAAAATATATTTGCTCAACTATCTAAGTAACAGCTTAGTTTATTATGAGTTAAGACGCATTATGCAGTTTTACCACATTTTGATGAAACAAAGGAAACACAGAGACTAAATACTTTAAGATAACAGACATAAGATAGCAAAAATAACAAACTTTGCAGTATAATTCTCTAGAACAATTTCATCTTACATGATAAAATAAGTTCTGCCAGCAATACTTCTAAAACTGAACCGGAATTAACAGGAAGCCAGCAATAAACCATATAAGAACTGCTGAGCTTAAGCAGGTAAGAACACAATCTTCTTGATCTCTGCTAGTCTGTGCGCTCTTAAGACAGCTCTCAGTTTCTATGAAGTGCCATAGGAAATGATGATTAGCTATGATGGAAGCAAAAGCCACAATTATACTGATATACTGAGTGAATGCTGCGTCACTTCTAGAATGCATAAAACCGTACCTCACTAGGCTATGAAAATGCACAAGCACTGAAATGTATACGGACTCTGCAGTGCAAGTCTCATAGGGACAAGTGGGAACTGCAAAACACTTAGGAAAATAAAAAGGTAATGGGTTTTGCCTACAAACAGGTTTCCCCTGCATTCATCAAAAAACAAAATATGAGCTAAGGCTTCTTCCTCCCCAAACTGAAAAGCTTAAGGAAGAGATGGACCAAAAGAATAAGCAAAAAAGAGACTCACTTTATCTTTTAAAAAAGGCGTAAGATGGAATCTTAAGGGGGAAAAAAAGTCAAGTATTTTAAACATGAGAACAAAAATGAGATTATTGATGCAATAAAGTTAAGAAAAATAAATGAAGCTAAAGAGATTAGATTCCTAGCAAGAAGGAAGTGAAAGGTACGCAACACCATATACTAAGAGGCCAAAAATAGGTATTCAGAAAGCAAAGAAATTATATAAAAACATTAAAAAAATACAAAGAAGGAAAAGCACAGTTTCCCACAAAGTATGCAAAAGGATGTGCTGTGTTTGTATACAGGCAGATGTTACTACTCTTCCTGGGATTTTATTTATTGGCAAGTACTCCCAAAACGAACTGCCACTTAAATTTTCCCTCCTACATGCAACTGTTCTAAGACTTCAATATGTAAAACCTGCCTAATTTCCTCCAGCTCTGAGGGAAGCTCCAATCTCTCTTACATCCCAGGCTAATTAAACCCACCTGTTAATACCATTCAAGACTAGTTTTGCAACACCAAACACAAGCTTCAATGAACCAGGTGACAAGAGGACTACTCAATGAAGAAGCCATGATTCCCCATTTAGCTTGGTCTTGTCTGAAACCACTGGCTAACTGTAAGTGACTGCACGAACAGATACCATCCTGCAGACATCAGGACAGAATTAAGACAACATTTAAAAGCAAGTCTGGAATATTGTAAGCTTCAAGTCTTTGACTTTGCAATCCAAATAGCTTTCGCTACTTAATTTCCATGCTGTTTTCTCCCCCCGCCTCTTCCTTTTAAAGGAAGAGGAAACATTCAGTCTCTAACGTCCACTGCAGAATTTGAACAATGAAACCTCAGAAATGTAG